CGCCGGTCAGCTCGCCCAGCAGCCGGCGCAGCCACACAACTTGGCACGCCGCTGTGGCCACCGCTACGTAGTCTACCTCGCACGTAGATAGTGCCACAACCTTCTGTTTCAGTGACAGCCATGAAATTAGAGCCGACCCGAGGATGACGAGCACGCCAGAGGTGTTCTGTCGTCCATCGATGTCCCCCACCATGTCTGCATTGCTGAACACAGTGAGCTGCAGCCTACTCCCGCCAGTCTTGGGAAAGATGATCCCTGATCCACCATCCCCTTGACATAGCGTAGTAGCCGCTTCACCACAGCCCAGTGATCCTCTCTGGGATCCTCCATGAAGCGACTGACGTAGCCCACGGCGAACGCAATGTTCGACCTCGTGTGGACTAGGTAGCGCAGACCACCGATGATGCTCCGGTAGAGTGTTGCATCCACCTTCGTCGCGGTGCTGGCCTTCGTTAGCTTTAGCTGCTCCTCCATCGAAGTCACACATGGCTTGCACTCAGCCATGCCGCTCCGCTCCAACAGCTTGGAGGCATACGCGCTCTGACCGAGCGTGAGTTCCTTCTTCCCTTGTCTCACCTCGATGCCAAGGTAGTAAGAGAGTGCGCCAAGATCGCTCATTCAAAAATGAGCCGCCATCTCATGCTTGAAGCCGTTGATGTCCTCCGTGCGTGCGCCGGTGATGATCAAGTCATCCACATACACGCCGATGATGAGCTCCTCCTTCCCTCGTCGCCACATGTAGAGCACGTGCTTGATTGCGCACCGCTGAAACCCAAGCTCACCCAGCGTGGCATCAAGCTAGGCGTTCCATGCTCGTGGGGCCTGCCGCAGCCCATAGAGCGCCTTGCATAGTCAGAGCACCTTGCGCTCCTCTCCCTTGATGGCGAAACCTAGAGGTTGCCTAACGAAGACTGCCTCCGCCAGCTCGCCGTTGAGGAAGGCTGATTTAACGTCCAAATGATGGACGCGCCAGTCTTTTGCTGCTGCCATGGCTAGTAGCAAATGGACTGACTCCATGCGCGCTATTGGCGCAAAGACCTCCTCAAAGTCCATGCCCTCGCATTGAACAAAACCTCTAGTGACGAGGCGTGCCTTGTGCTTGACAATGGCGCCGAGCTCGTCCCGTTTGACCTTGTACACCCACTTCGGGCTGATCGGACGACATCCTGGAGGTGGATCGACGAGCTGCCATGTCTCGTTTTCCTCGATCACCTTCATCTCCTCCAGCATCGCCCGTCACCAGTTTTCGTTATGCTCCGCCAGCGTGAACGTGGGTGGTTCCTCTACACTGATGAGCAGTAGCTTTTGGTCATTGAGCAGCCGACTAGCCAGTCTTGAGGGCCCTGTGCCACCGATGATGTCATCCAGCCTGCGGAACTGCACCTCCTCACCTTCGTGGAAGGCATCCACGAACTCAGTGATGTCACTTGGAGGTGAGGTGAACTCAATCAGTGTTGATGGAGTACCCTGTTCTGCCAGAGTGCTCAGCATAGCACCTGGAGTGCTCGGCACTCTGGTTGCAGTGCTCGGCACTACTTCTGGACAACTCATAACTACTCCCGCAGTGCTCGGCACCACTGTTGGAGTGCTCAGCCTCAGTCTTGGAGTGATCGGCACCATTGCAAGACCTCTTGGTTCCGCTACGGGAGTGCTCGGCACCTGTCCTAGAGTGGTCGCCACCACTGCAGAACCTCCCGGCGCCACTCCTGCCGTGCTCGGCATCCCTCTAGGAGTGCTCGGCATCCCTTCCGAAGTGCTCGGCACTACCCCAGGAGTGCTCGGCTCTGCCGCTGGAGTGCTCGGCACCCCTTCTGGAGTGCTCGGCACCCCTTCCAGAGTTCTCGGCACCTCTTTCCCAGCGTCTCCACCACCGTGGATGACTAGGTGCTCGATGACGAAGGTGCTGGTGAGGCCGCCAGCTTCCCCTATACTTGGACTGGTCCAGTCCCAAGCCGCCTTCTCCTCAAATACGACGTCGCACGAGACAAGCACCTTGTCTCCGTGTGGGTCATAGAGCCGGTACGCCTTGGTACCCTCCGCGTAGCCCAGGAACACCATCGGTGTGCTCCTGTCCTCTAGCTTGGTGAGGTTCGGCTTCGTCTTCCTGACGTGGCCGATGCAGCCGAATGTCTGGAGGAAGGACACTCTTGGCTTGCGCCCATACAAAGCTTCGAACGACGTCTTGCGTGTTAGGGCCTTGGTCAGAGCATGGTTGAGGATGAACACCGCCGTGGTCACAGCCTCACCCCATAACCTTGCCGGCATGCCTTTGGCCTTCATCATGGATCGAGCCATGCCGACCACCATCTGGTTCTTCCTCTCAACCACACCATTCTGTTGTGGCGAGTACGGCGCGGTGTGGTGTCGCACCATACCCTGATCCGCGCAGTACGTAGAAAACTCAACCAAAGTGAATTCGCCGCCGCGATTAGTCCTCAGCATGCGGAGCTTCTTGCCGCTCTCAGACTCCGCGCGCATCTTGAATTTCTTGATCACCGCCGCCGCTTCGTCCTTGCTTGTCAGGAGTTATAGCCACATGTAGCGACTGCAATCATCCATGAGCAGGAGGAAGTACCGTCGACCACCATTTGTAGCTGGCATGATCGGCCCACATAGGTCACCGTGGATGAGCTCGAGAGTGTCCTTCACGTGATACTTGGCTACATTTGGGAATGGTAGCCTCCTTTGCTTTCCAGCCAGGCAGCTATCACACAGCTTGCCTTCATGCTTGATGTGGGGTAGCCCTCGGACCATCTTCTCCAGCCGACCAAGCGTGTCAAAGCTGAGATGTCCAAACCAGGCATGCCACATCCATGGTTCCTCGGTGTGCCTTACCGCTAGGCACACCAGCTGCTCTACCTTCAAGTCGAGCAGGTACAACCGATTCTGGGACCTCTTCACCTTGATGAGAAGTCATTGCTCCCGGTCCCTGATCCTAAGGACTCCATCCTTGATCAGTACTTTGCTACCACGCTCATCCAGCTGACCAATACTGATGATGCTGGAACGCAGTTGCAGGATGTAATATACATCTGTTAGCGTGTGGTGCTCCCCATTCTGGCACCTGAAGATGATGGTGCCACGCCCTTGGATAGCCACCCTTGAGCCATCACCAAACTTTACCGTACCGATAACATCGTCGTCGAGCTCGGAGAAGGATGCCTTGGAGCCCATCATGTGGTTGCTGGCACTAGAGTCCAGATACCACCGCTGCTCCTGGTCGGCGCACACACATCCGAGGTGGACTTGGGCGCGTGGTTCATCGAGGTTGATAGCCTTTAGGGCCTTCCTAGGTCCTTCCACCATCGTCGCCTCTTCCTTCTCCTCGGCCTCGACGTTGTGCAGCGCATAGAACGTCACCATGAGGATAGTGGCCTCATCATCATCATCAGCTTGCGCCAGATGAGCCCTAGTCTTCTTCTCCTGCTTGCGATTTGGGCACTTTCATGCCCAATGGCCCATCTTCCTACAGCGTTGTCAGGCATTGGGGTCGACCTGCTTCTTCTTCTCTGAAGAAGCCTTGCCGCGGCGCTTGCCATCGCCACTGCGGCTGGAGGAGGCTGCCTTTCCGGAGTTCCTCTAAGCAGCCCACTCTTTCTCTGTCAGCAGCAGTTTGCCGCTGTCCTTCGTTGTTGTCGCCTGCTCCAGGCGCTCATCCACCGCCCGTAGATGGCCTGTCACATCCTCAATGGTGAGGGTGGACAAGTCCAGCATCGTCTCTATGGAGAGAGCAATCTGGATGTACTTTGCTGGCACGGAGTGGAGGTACTTGAAGACTGCCTCCTCTTCATCGATGGTGACGACATGGCTCTTCAGCTTGCTGATGAGTGTCTGCAGGCAGAGGGAGAAGTCCTCCACTGTTTCACCATCCTTGAACTTGAGGTTGGCGTACTCCTGCTTCAGAAGCTGGGTTGTCGCCTTCTTTGCGTGGTCGGAACTGACGCGCATCGCCGCAATAGCCTCCCATGCCTCCTTAGCAGAGCTCTTTGCCCCCAACGACTCCCTATACTCCACCGGTACAGCAACAAAGATAGCCTTCAACGCTGATATGTCATCTTCCTCATTATCGGTGCCCTTGTCAACAGCATTCCAAAGCCGTCGGGCTCTAAGCTTGACCTTCATGGTCACCGACCACTCTCCATAGTTGGTGCGAGTCAGCGTCGGCCAACTGGTGCCGCTGACCTCCCACACCGTGCGAACAACGACCTCCAGTCGTGGCTGAGTAGCCACAGTAGTGCCACTGCTGTCGCCCATTTCTAAACCGCCCATTTCTAAACCGCCCGTCATCACCAGCGGTTAGTCTGGCGACGGCGCTTGTACGGCTCTGATACCACTTGTTAGCCCATAGGATCACCGACTCAGGTGAGTCGACCACTCACCAGTCTTGCTAACCACGACCGAGCACAACCGAGGCTGTCCGACCACACACACTATGGCTAGAGATAGAAGAAGAGGGAGAACAGAGTATACGCATACACACAGTACAAGCACCAGCATTGGCCAGAGCCCTATATAGGAGATGGCAAAACTAAACTCTCTTTGTTGAGTTGCAGTGGCAAACTATATATACAACTCTATCCATCTAGTTCTAGTACAGTGCACATGCTGTAACAGTAACTAGATAACACAGCAGGACTAACTTCTATGCCTGTCCCTGCATATGGCTACAGTGCGGTAGGTGAGCCGTTCGACGCCTGCCTCTGCAGCGGCTATAGTACCACAACAGGAGGCCTTTTTGGCGCCGCCTTCCCTTGCTGTGTGTTCACACAAGAAAATAGTAGATTATGTAACATAGACAATGTGACTATCACATACATCCAGGCCTTGCTCCTCGGAATCTATCCTCTCGTGACTTGACTGTGGTGCAAAGGGTAGCTGAAGAACATCTTCAGGATTATCTTGTATCTATCATGGATAAAGAGACGACCAATAATGATCATTGGAAGAGAGAGCTGCACAACCTTCTAGGTGTACAGATCGACTATCAGGGCCAAACAACCATGGTATATTTTCCTTCTCCCTTGTCCATCGTATGAACTAGTGCGGTTATAAGAAGATTAATTCTATTCTCATGACTGATTTTACTCCTTTCTCATTTTTTTAGGAGCGGGATCACTTTGAAACAAACCCTGCTGCCGGTTCTTCATCCCAACCTATGTTACTTGACAACCTGCTGGCAAAAGAGAATTTGATAGATAATAAAATTATTGTGCCAGTTGAGAACAACAAGAAGCGTCACCCACACATGAATATCCTTTCAAGAGATAATGGGGATCCACCAGCCAAGAGAAGGCTTGATTTTACTGATATGGATGAGGGTTGTGGCCCAGCCATTGCACTTGCCCCCAATGTCACTCTGGCTGACGAAGATCCCAATCAGTCTAACCATTCTCTCACTAGTACGGAGCATCTGTTTAATGTCTTTTTTTAGATTGTGGACAGCAGCTTGACCATCCATCCTTCGGCCAAGCGTTATCTGAGGATACGCAAAGCATGGACACGACTGAGATCGAGAAGATTTTCTTCAACTAGTCTCCCTAGGAATTTCGCTAGCATTTCCAAGATCAAAGCTATGCTAGACAAACTGGTTGCTATTTCCCAACAATTGCAACTTGCCCGCTCTAAATTTGAAGCAAGATCTGGACGAGTAGACCAAGCTGTTGGCGAGGTTAAACAAGAGCTTTCAGTTAAGAAAAATGCTCTCCAAGCTACCGCCCAGGAAATGGTTTCAGTTGAAGAGAGGAAAGCTGAGCTTTTAGCAGAGGTTGCCAAGTTTAACCTTGCCTTGAAGGAACTGGAGGAGGAGAAAAAGCTATTGAAGACTCAGTCTGCCCAGGAATTAGACATGAAGGAGCAAGAACAAGCGCTGTGTAATGCCACTACAAAGGCAAACAAGAGAGCCAATGATGACCTCCTGGCAAAGACGATGGTTCCTATCCAGGAGGCTGAGAAGCTTTTGAATGATTTGAACCAAATCCTCTCCAAAGTCAACTGATGGATCCAGTTAATTCGATCCGCTTTGCCAAGCTTTATGTCAGACTTTGAGTATTTTATTTCCTATAGTTAATTATGAACATTTATTTCTCTCAGTTTATGGGACATCACTACTACAGAAACGCTTTTAGGGGCGGCTCGTAACCCTTTGTAGGGGCGGTTTGGCCAGCCGCCCCTACCAAACTGTCTCTACAAATCATGCATTTGTAGGGGCGGCTGGTACTACAGCCGCCCCTATAATACCTATTTGTAGGGTCGGTTTAGTCTAGAACCGCCCCTACAGTACGTTTTTCCGCAAAAAAAAAATTCAAATTTGCAATTCAAATTCGACCAGAACACTGTTTGTTTCCGCGTATTCCATCCAGCGTTCATGTTACCGAACGCCCCACGACCAACGTTCCGAACCGCGTTCGCGTTGCCGAACGCCCCGCGACCAACGTTCCGAACTGCGTTCGCGTTGCCGAACGTCCCACCACTAGCGTTCCGAACCCCTTAGACTACGAGCACAAGAGTATTATATAAACTACAATTACAAGTCCAATTCACAAAAATATATACAATCCATCATTAAATAAACATAATTCACAAGGTAAAACCAATGTCAAATTCTATAGACATTGTTATCAACGTCCTAGAGCTAGCCTTTCAGTCTCATGAAGGTGTTGGTACTGAGGATTTCTACCTAAGTCAGACTCTCAGTCATGGTAGGCGCCTTTGATGTATACAATCTGGTCCAATATGAAGTTGCAAAGGTCACCGACGAGCTCTAAGAGTTGGTCATCCTTGTATGGGTCTCTTTTCATTTATTTCTCTTCTTTCCATTACAAGAGAACAAGTTTCGGTTTAGTATTTCATACCATATACGAAGTTTTTATACTATGGGTGAAGAGGTTCAAACTTACCCTTAAGGGGTGTCTCCTATAGGCACCGGTGTTACTCATCATAGAACATATATAGTATCTACAATGTACACTCCCAGACTTTTGCTTGAGGCACTGTGTGTTTTGCATATGAAAATGTTAAGTAATGCTTTTGACAACCATGTAATGGAGTACTGAAGAAGTAAGTTACACTTACCGCACATAGTGTTTTTATAGCCAGCTTTTCCTTTCTTGCTGGATCATGCCTTCCGTGATGTTTAGTGACATAGAACCTAAATGCCCTGTTTGAATTATTTTAACAAATACAACTTGTTAGTATCCAAAAGTGAACGTTACAAGTATGTATACAAACATATAAGCTAATGAGGATTATCGATATGTATACGTCTTGAGAATCGATATGAAGTCTTTGTATGTCACCGGGTCCCTATCTATTGAATCAAAGACCTATGCCATGCTCCTCCTGACATCGACGGCTATACAAATCTAGTGGTTGCTGCATGGATTTAATCATAGAACTAGATAAGCTCTTTTGCATCGAATAAAATATATCGAACAAAGCTTTAAGTATAGAGTTGAACTTACTCGAAGTTGTATGGTAACCATATAGTAGAGTGCTGTTGGAGAATTTTGAAAGCCAGGGCAATGTATGCCGCAACCTTAAGGGACTCTTCCCTTAGTTTTGCCGTACGGATGTGCTCTTTCTCCCGAAGAGTCTTTGCAGCAGCTAGCTCTTTGGCATCCAGTTTCCACTGTTTAGGATAATTAAAATTTGTTTGGGCTATAGCTTGAGGGTCTAGGTACCTAGCTTTCACACTTGGCATTTGTTTGACAATGTGCACTTGTATTCTACAAATCACGGCGCGGGTTAGTTATAACAAAATTCAAAGATTACATTCATATCATATTGGGAGGACAAGGACTTACAGGCACCACATGTGAATTAAATTTATTTCCATTGCTCCCAGGTGAAAGCATGTCTGCATGTCATTGAAGTCAAAGATAATTTTCCTGGCTGAGCTTCCAAATGTGCCGGTGGGGAAGCATGCTTGTATGAGGTCTATGCTCGTTGGGAGAACACACAAGTACCAATCATGGAACCTTCTCATTCCAAGTGGTAGGCGCTGGATGTCCTGGTTCGGTAGGAAGGGCTTGCCTCTTTCATATGTTTTCGGGCAATCCTTTGACCATTTGATGGCATCAACATTTGGATACTGGTTTGCAATTTGGTGGAGTTTGCTAGTGACGGCCTCCTTAGAACCCCGTGATGGGACTTTTTTAACTTGGTTCTCAGGCTTGAACTGGTCATGGGAATACTACTTGGACACCGATGAGACGTCTTTCATCGAAACATAAATTGGCCTTATGGTGATTGGATGCTTCTTTCGAAGTTCCCATTTAGGCACGTCCTCATCTTCTTGTGCATCACATTCTTCAGGAGGCACTCGTTGTTCATGTATCGGCTGTGCTTGTTGAGAAGACTGTGGCATCTCATCATGCACTTGCTCGGTATGAGCTGGAGAAGGTTGTGGCATCTCATCAGGCACATGCTCGCTAGGAGGCGGGGAAGAATGTGGCATCTCAGGATTGTGGTGGTCACGAGATGGTGAAAATATCTCCCCGATCTCAACAACTCGGTCCAAATTTGGGAGAGGGGGGTGCGGCGAAGAAGCAGTCAATATAATGTCCCATTTGTGCCAGAGGATGAACTGCCCATAACGTCTCCGAGTAACACTAGCCCCTCGGGAGTTGCGTAGTCTATCCTCCACTACATGAACTCGAGCTTCACAGTATGCACCTCGACCCTAGTGTAGTCCAGTGGTATCTTATTATTGTGGTGTAAGCCACCGGGAGGATGTGCCACTCCCGTTGCCACCTCCATCACAGTGTTCTGCCAGCCGCTGAGAAACACTAAGGGGCAACTAGTTGATTCCCGTATGCGATCGATGGGGGTTGTGGCTGTAGTGGAACCTTGGCTGCTAGGAACTTTTAGAGGGCTGCCAACTAATGCCAGTTCTCCTGGCGGCGTCTTTAATATCCGTGGCTCCGTAGACAGTCCTTGCTCCTCTAGTGCCTTCGCAACTAGAGCCTTCACTTGGAGCTCATGATTAGTCTCCTGATCTCTGCCGTGTTTCTTGTACATGTGCCTGTCCTCTTTGAATCCTTGCTTCTAGGTCGTCCTTTTCCCTAGCCCCCTGGTGCGGCCTATGTGCTCCTTGTTTCCCAAGCCAAGGCTAAGCTCATCCTTCTCTCTAGAAGGATTGAATGAGCTCTTCTCCTTGTCTTCAGCATATTTCAGTATCATTGATACTGCCTCTTGGGTCTCTGGCTTATCAAACTTAAGATTACCACCGGATGATTCTGTACTCCTCGCATATATCCAATTCCTTGAGCGTACATTCAAATTCGTCACATCAATATTCCCAGCAGCTATGGCCTCTTCGTCCATCTTTCTAAACTGCTCTTCCTTTGCATAGTAGCCACCGGGGCCTAGATGATGGTGGTGTTTGTTCCTCTTCGCCAGCTCGGTGTTACGGGCACTGAGCTCCAATGCCTCCGGTGAAGTCTTCTGAGCCACGAGCTCCTCCCATTGACTAGGAGTTATTTTGACAAACTCGTTAAAGAGATTTAACCCCTTTTGAATATACTTCTTGTTGAGCTCCGACCTCCAACGTCGGAATGTCTCTCCCATCATCCTGAAAGCATTTTTTTACCAGTTCATGCTTACCCTCCGGAAATCTAAAATTGAGCTTCAGCTGCCTATCCCATAGTTCATCCTTTTTGTTCTCTGATACCTCTTTCTAGTTAGGGATTGCTGGGTTCAATTTATCTCTTACTAGGGCCCTGATCACATTACGGAATCGTCCTCTTAATTCCTTCGGCTCAAGGATCTCCCCTGCCGGCCCGACCTCCGTTATCACATAGCATGCCTTATCTGGATATAGATTTTCTTTTCTATCCCCTCGTTTCCTCTTAGGCTTGGTAGTCGTGGTTGTGTCTTGAGGTTGTGGAGCAGAGGCCTCAATGTTCGTCTCTATGGCTATTGCCTCTGCTCTCCTTTCCTCTACTCCATCTTGTCCAGCGAGATGTCGCGGACGTCGACGTTGTCTTTTCCGAGTTTTAGGAGGGACCTATATATACGACAGGTCAAAGTGTTAGCAGAGGTAACATAGCCAAAGCTTTAGCAAAATTTACAAGCTAAGGCTTTTTCCCTACCTCCTTGTTCAGGTCAAAATCCTTGTCCAAATCTTTCTCCGTTGGCCTCCTTCTGGCTTCACGTGGGAAAGGATCCTCGAGACTTACATATCCCTCTTCTTAGTCATCATCATCATCATCATCATCATCATCCTCTTCTTCGCCTTCAGCAGCCTCTCCTGCTCTTCCTTCTGCTCCCCCTTCCTCCTCGTCACACTGCTCCTGAGTAAGCATCACTTCTAGATCCTTTTCTAACTCGTTATTGAACTGCTCCTGAGTAAGATGGTCCTCCAGTGCTTTCTCCTCATAGGTTGGCTGCTCATCATGCTCGGGGCATCGGGCTGCACTGTCTGGTGTCCGCGACATTATTTCGCACTTTATTCTAATAGATACAAGAAAGTGTGCTTTAGGTACGTGAAAAGGTATAAGAAATCATAAAGGTCTATAAACCAAAGTAGTACTATAAAACAACAATATATAAAAAAACGAGTAGTAGCAGTAGTAGAGGCCTCAGAAACATGTCAATCATCATTTGATCATGAACTTGGAGCATCAATGCATCATAACAGAGAAGAGAGGAGAAGGTAATGTAGGGGCGGCTACTAATGATGCCAAGTTCCTCACGTTCTTGATCATCAGCTCATATTCCATATAATGTATGGACTTGGACAATTTTATCATCGGCAAAACAAAGGAGAGAAGAGGAGAGGGGAGATTTGGCAAAAAAAGTAACAGCTGCTTAACAAACATAGAGATGAAAAGGTGTAAAAAAAAGCAGCTGCTGCTTCCCAAACATAGAGGATAGGAAATGTGGCAAAAATAGAGGAGAGTTGGGTAGCACAGGGGAGGAGCCGAGGAGGGTAGCAAGTTAGCAACTAGCATGCGTCTGTATTTGCACGCCGTCTCTGTCATCCCACCAAAACCT